GGGGCACTCAAGGCCTTAAGTTTTTCTCTTTTAAATGAAACAAAACCAAAGACCAACACAGTTCCCCAGAAGGAAGGTCTTGTTTGACTTCTCTGTCTTGTGGAGGAGTACTCCTATCTTGATCATGTCCAAGCCCAGGGTCTTCTGCTAAGTGTTATTCCTCAGAGCCCAGCTTGAGACATTGCTTTCTCATACACTCAGCTCCTCTGAGCACAGTGATGAGCAAGCTGTCACCTGATACAGGCAGTGATCTTTGAAGCCCCCTTTAGCGACTAGGAGGAGTCTGTATACCTCCTGAACAGAAACAGCTCTTCACTTGGCTGCATCCCATTGTCTTAAGTGCTGAGAAAAAATGGAGAATTCAAGCCTTGTGTTCCTTCAGTTAGTTACCAGAAGGAGGTACAACCTGGGGCTGATTTCACAGAATCACAGAATCCTTTAAGTTGGAAAAGACCTCTGAGATTATTGAGTTCAACCTTTGACTGATCACCTTGTAGCTAGTCCATGTTAATTGGACTGTTAATGTTTCTTGACCCTGAAAAGCTATAAAATTGAGAATGATGCGAGGACACACTTGGTTCTTGAACCACTGGTATCTCAGATATCCCTGTTTTGTGGGCCTCATGATTTTACTGATTTCTGGAAGTGAATACATAAAAATAAAGAAACATTAGGTGAAGAGAAGAGCCAAAAAAGCAGCTCAGCACTGAGAGGGTCATTGGTGTAAACAGTGCAGCTCTAACACTCCCTGCAGGTCTCAGTGATCAAAACACAGGAGGACAACAAGACTCCCTGTTCCTGCCCATAGATTTAGCAAGTGTAATGCTCAGTAAAACAAATTAGTTGTATAAAAGTATTTATGATTCTAGGAAACATGATGGGAAGAATTACAAGATCTGAACAATTTTACTTTAAGTTCTACTTTATGAACATATATAAATTTTTTCAGCTGGTGGAGTACCAAGAAAACAATCAGATCCTCAGCAATGTAGATATAAGACCTGAAAGCCTGCTCTTGTACTATAGGGGATAAAAAAACCAAATCATGTATGTCATCAGCTGAAGTCAGCTGGGTCTAATAAACTGTGACAAGTCAGGGCAAACTCTGTTCCTGGAGCAGTTTTTCCTTTGAAGGAAATATTGAAGATCACTTGGCTAAACTTTATGGGTAAACCATCAGCCAGTGATAGCAAGAAGCATTGGCTAACAGAGTTGTCCTCCTTGGAAATAAACACATACAAGGAGATGTGGGAAAGGACCAATATCCCTCCAATGAGGCAAAGAAGATTTATTATATTCACTCTCCCATTTCTGGAAGCAGATGGCTTCTACAGTTAGTCTTGTAACTGAGGATTTTCAGAATGAGCTGCTTCATGGGAAAGAAATGAGGGGGAACAGCATTAGTAGGAGTTATGTTTACTAAGCAAATACAAGGCAAGGGCATCTACTGTAGCAACTGAAGACAGGAGCTAAACCTTCTGGGATGCACATGCACACAGAAAAGCAGCTTATTCGCTCCATTGGGCAGGAGGAAATGGGTCACCTCACCAAACGACACAATTCAAAATCTTCCACAGACACAAGGAAGTAGCATTTAAGTGTTCAGAACAAGACAGTGGTACTCATTTTCCCCTCATATCACAAAGCAAGCAATTACAGTCTTCACTAGCTGGTGTTTCTAAATGGGGTTCAACTCTCAAAGTGCACACGGAATATTTTCCTTAAAGCTATCAGGAGTGTCTTACTCTAATATTTTAGAATCAGCTTAGAATAGCTGGATTCAGTTTCCAGCTGATGTAAGAGTTAATTTTCTCTCTTTCTGTGCAGGTTCTACATTGAGCTACTGTCATGGTGCGTGTGAATGATTCATGATGATTTGCCCCATGTGGTCTTCTGTGGGGAAACAGAAGGAGAAAAAAGCAAGCCACAAAAATGCCAACACAACTACAACTCCCACACAAACTCCTGTTTCTTTAGAACATCATTTATTGTTACTCATCTTTAGTGAAACAAAAGATGAAAAACACACCAAAATGGAACACCACAGGGGTTCTAATGAAACCCAAATTATAAATGTGAACTATTGTTGTTTTAGTGTTAAAACTAGCAAGCTCGTATAACAAAGTCCAAGTAGCAAGTCACTGGAGGAAAAGTGATGAGAAAAGAAAAGCTGCTTATGTTAATTAAACAAAGAAAATCTGCCTGGCAGACAAGAACAGCTTAGAAGCAAATGAATTTAAAATATGTATGTATTTCTTGGTGTTCCCTGAGCACACAGATAATATATGTGCTCATTCAGTCTTAGGGATTAAAGAAATCACTGGGCATGTTGACTAAATCCAGGGAAGATGATCTTTAAAAACAAAAGTTCAGGCATGTCCACCTGGTGTTGTGAATGAAGTTCTGGAAACAACGAATAGAGATCTTACTTGTACTTGTTTTGAACAGCAAGATACATCACAAATTAAAAACCTCTTATCCAAAATAGGGAAAAAGATTCTGCCGGACCATACCATGAGGCACCAAAACCTAATGAGAAGAAAAGCCATTCTTCAGGCTCCATCAGTACTGCTGCTCACTCCTTACTGAAGCAGTGAAGAAGACATTTACCAATAGCTCAGGTTCTCCCCCCCACTCCCACAAATTGTTTTGGCAACTTGATCCCTGTGTTGCAGGAACCTATTTGGAAAATTATGTTATGTCAATAGTCAGGTTTTCATTAATTTAATTTCTTCTCAGACCTGAGTGGATAACCAAGGGAATGGGTGTATCCCATATATTTTCAAGAATTTATTTTATTTCCTTTTATATTTTCCATTAATTGGAATTAAACTTTTTTTTTTTTTTTTTTTTTTTAGAAAAGCCTTCAGTAATTATCCATTAACTGTGTATTTGACATAGGCACACATTAAAGAACAACTGCAGCATATTTCATGGTAATCATATTAAGAATAGTTACATAGCAATTTTATATACTTACCATTGTAGACATACTATAATCTGAGACACATAATATGACTTGAGTAGAGTGAGTAAGACTTCTAGGTGATTGTCTGTATTGAATAAACATCCAAGAATCTCCAACTCATAATATTATCACAGAATGCTTTTTTTATTTTTTTCTGAAATGATAAAATTAATATGGCTGTTTCCAAGTCACAGTTGTTGGTTTTATTTATTTCAGAGCAGAGATTTCCAGTGCAACCACACAGGACCAAAAACTTGATGTACAGTGGCATTCAGTAATCTGTTACAACATCCTGCTGTGGCCATGTGAATCTCCATTTAGGCATCATTGCTTTATTAACCTTACAAAGAGTGCAATATGATAATAAAATTGTTATAATCAACCTGAATGACAACATAGAAAGCATAGTGCAGGATAGCCACACACACATGATTCCTCTGATCTTCTGGAGTTGTGATAAATATAATTTCACATATTTGTACAATATTTTACTTACCACTATAAATGCTAATAAGTGGTGAGTTTGTTTTAAATACTATAGATGCCTTTTTGATTCCCTTGTATTTCTAAGATATGTGGGTTTTTTTGTGCTGAATAGTGCATCCATTACTACAAACCTCTTGAGCACACATTACTTCATGAGATGGTCTAATAAGCATATAACAAGCCAAGGCTTCCAGCCATTTTTGATTTTTCAAGATATTAGACTTCTGATGGTATTGGTATTCTGACAATGTTGGACATGACTATTAAACAGCTGAGTAATAAATAGTGTGCCTAATAGGACTAGGGCAGTAGCAAAGGGACAGTAAAGGGATATTGTAGAAGTGCACAGTGGGAGGAAGAGTGGAATAGGCTCATATGAACCAGTGGCAAAAGCCCAGATTCACTGGTTTTTCAAATTGTTCTTTTGCCAAAATGATTAATTAAAATTTAAAAAAAAAAGGCATACAAAGAAACAGTTTAAAAACTATATGAAGGTTATTAACATAATTATCAATTAACAAAAGAACAAAACAAAACACACCAAAAAAACTCCACCCAACCGAAACAAAAAACCCCAAACCCAAACATATTTCAAATGTCTGGGGACAAAAAGCATTTAAAAAGTAAAATAATTTCAAAGAAGTGGAGATGTTCTATATCTCTCCTTCCTGCAGCATGGTGAGTCCATGGCAAACACCGTTTTGAACCACAGATTCTCTCCAACAGATTTGCTCTCTCTCATCCTCCAGACTTGTCTGCTCATCAGCCTCAGAACTGAGCATGTTCTGAGGCTGATGAGTGATCAGTTCTATGATGATCAGTTCTATTAGGCTCTCAGAGAGCAAAAATGCAAGGAGTGCTTAGAAAATGTTGCCTCCCAAATAAAGGTGAACTGGTGAAAAAGCTAATGGTTAAAAATTTACTATTACAAAAACGCATACATGCCTCAAGACCCAACTACTTTCACCTTTCAAAGTTTGCTTGACTAAAAATTCATCCAGTGTCTACAGAAGTGAACCACCTGTGTACTTGGAATCCAGGTCAGTTTTCATTGCCAGACAATTTGGAACACTTTCAATCATGTTGAATTCTTCTTTGCATTTTTAAGTGAAAGAAGATTGAGCTAAATCACTATCTTGTATGAGTCAGTGCTGTTAAATTAAAAAAATTAAAAAAGGAAAAAGAAAAAAAAAAGAAAAAAAAATAAACCAAGCAGATTACAAAGACTTAATATTACAATATGTGGTTATTCATGACTAAGCCTCTGTCCAGGAGAAGGAATCTCAAAATTGTTTAACACAAACAACAGGACACAGTAATAGCCAATTATTTAACCCACAGTCTCTTTGAGGATCATCTAGCTGAGTAGAAAAGCCATTAAGAAAGTTTTTCAGGACATCTTCTTCTTTGTATTTCCAGGTGTATTACTATAGGAATTCATCTGAAGCAGAGCTACAAGCCATTTCTAGAATTAAATATACTGTTATTCATTTCATATGTATAATAGTGCAATCATCATTACACAAAGGGAGCAATAAAAGTGAAGGGCACATTTATTTAATTTGTATTTTCAGAAACATCATGGATTTCTTCAGCTAAATAGAGCAGTTGAAAGGATAAGCTCTGTATTACCAGCTTCACGCAGTGCTATTTAAATTGAATATGTAACAACTGCAAATATCTAAAGTCACTTTACACCCAGCAGGTAAGAAATACCTACCATGACAGAATTCAGATACTGTATATTTTCATTCTTGAAGATATTAATATATTCAAGCCCCTTTTTTTTAAGACACTTCAGTCTTCACCTTCTGTAAATCAAGACCCAGCAAAGTTGCAAAACTGGAGCAAAATCTGGCCAACTCCTTATCTTCACATCAGTTCCTTTTCTTTCAATATCAAGAAAATTAAAAGGAATAGTTGAGGCACAAGTGATTTTTATGCAGAAGTATAGAAGTATTTCAATAAGTAGACTAAAATTTCAGTATTTAACTTCTTTAAAAAAAGACATAGATCATAGGTCTATGATCACAGTCATAGATCACAGTCACTGCAGTCTTACTGGATTGCTTTTTTTTTCCCCCAGGATGAAAAAATAAACTGGTTCACAGAATTTACCAAATCCACTTTATACTGCCGTTTCACACAGGTCATGTCTAATCAAAGCAAAGTACAAACCCGTGCTTCAAGGGAGCCTGAAAGCATTCTGCTACACCTGACAATAAACGATTTCTTCAGCAAAGACAGCTTCAGTGAGCCCAGTAACGCAGAGAAGAGTCCATCCAGCTGAACTGACGTAAATGTTGCAGGCAGAACTTAGCATGAAAGTGCACTGGCAACAAGCTTTTGAGAATAAGCTCATATCATAAGAGCTTGTGCTTGAAACTACTTTTACAGCTATGGTTATTGTTTCTGTTAAGAGGCACTGCATAAATATGGAGTCATTCATCTAATGCACTTAATATTTCTCAGATGAGGACTATTGCAGTTTTACCCTATGTCTAGGTGTGATAATACTTTGGTTTGCTTTACAGCAGTAGCATTGCACTAGCAATACAGCTGATACTAAAGAGAAGGCTGAAAACACTTGCAGACTGGAGCTGAAAAACCCCAATCTCCTCCTTTACTTCTTTTCATGCTTCTTGGTTAGTTTTCCTCTTTCTAGCTGGAGGCTTGTACCGGTGTTTGTTCGCTTCTCCTTTTGCTGGCTCTCCTGGGAAACTTGTTGCACTGCTCGGAGGATAGCAGTCTGCACAATCTGCTTGCTGGCAATCTGCAGCTTAACTTCATCTTGCTCCGTCCCTGGCTTCTCACCTGCCAGAGCCAAACAAAGAAGAAAAGGAACTAAGAATATGGGGCTAGCCCATGGAAACGTGAAGGACAGAAAAAGAGGAGGGAGGGAACAAAATCACACAGTGTCTGGGGACAGTTTATTACATAGGAAACCTGCCAATACTGAAGATGAATTAGGGTGGAAAGTGCCTGTGCATGCTCAGCACCACAGGACTGAACGAAGGGGGAGATTTTGAGTCATTCAGCTCAATTACCCACTCCCCAGCACTGGGGACAGCTGTGACTTCAGAGCTGAAACAAGAACAGATGTGTTACACTGTAAGACAGGAAAGGAAGATTTTCTCATGCAGCTGTGATTCACATCCATTTTGACTTGAGCTGTGCTTATGGACAGGGAATTGGACTTTATTTTTCAAGACTGACATGTACTCCCTCACCACCACATAGCAAAAAACACTGTTTCATTAACATTTCTTTTTACTTTTACTTCAGATTGAAAGCTCTCATCCATCAAATCCCAAATGACATCAAGGTACAAGATTTTGTTTAGTGCAGTTTATTAACCCTTAGATAGATATTCAAAAATATCTGCAAAATATTTAGAAATACTCAGATTGCTGTAGGTAAAACAGAGACCATTTTCTATGGAAACCTGTCAAATACATATTTTTATGTGAAACTTCCTTGTTTGGCTAAAGTGTTAAAATCTGGAGAAAAATAAAGTAATGTAGTATGACTACTTACATCTGGTAATGAAGAAGAGTAGTATATGTTAAGAGATTTCTCTTTAAAAGTATTTTGATTCTTAACATAAGTGGCAATTTGGACAATAAAGAATGGTCTGTAATGGTCACAGCTGATACTGATTTTAAAAATAATTCTGACACACTTATTGGCATATAGGAGATCAGTTGCTAATTGAAATGCTTAGACTAGGTGCTATTGACATCACTAGATTCGATTTTAAAGTTTTTAAAGATACTCATCTCAGTTCTGTCTTAGTTAACTGTTATGCTCAAGTATTTCATTACATAGGATTTGTAGTTAACTGTCTGTTTTAATTACATATATTAAGAATTGTGTCCTGAGAGGAATCAAAGAGTGAATTAAAGATCAGGTGCTTTTATGAGAGGTGCATATCTGAAATTGTGAAGAATTCCCAATGTTCTTTCAGATGTATTTTCAAGGAAACTTAGGATAGAAGGAAAAGAAGAATCACTTGTTTCCTTAGGGAATACGCTATATGCTTGAGAGAAGAAACAAGGTCCTGCACGTGGGTCAAAGTAATGCCTGATGTCAATGCAGACTGGGCTGTCAATTTATTGCTAGCAGATTTGTGGTGAAGTACTTGGGCATACCAGTAGACAAAAAGTTGAAAATGAGACAGCTTGTAGTCCAGAAATGTATGCTGGTCTTTACAAAAAGAGCATGGCCAGGAGCAAAGGGAGGTGATTCTACCCCTGTACTCAGCTCCTGTCAGACTCTGGTGCACTGTGTCCAGGTCTGGTGTACTCACCATTGTAAAGACAAGTAAGAGGTTAAAACCTGTAAAAACATAGAAAAAAATGTTTTAAACTGGAAAAGCTCACTGAAAAAAATCACTTGAATTCTTGGCACAGTCAGCTTCCCTGATTCAGTTTTTCCCACTCCTCAGCACTTGAAACAGTGTGGTTTTGGATGGAATTAAATGTTACTTAATAGATACAGTGTAGATAATTCTTTACTACTCAAATATGAACTCACATTTTATCACAAAACAAATTACTCTTCTTACTTGGCTGAAAAAGATCAGTCAACACATCTGATGTTCAGAAGATAATGTATTAACAAAAGCAGGAATAAACATGAAATTCTAAATAAAAATGAATATGTTGGAATAGACAATGAGGTTATATGAAATGTAAAAAATTTGCCAATCCTCAAAGCCACTAGCCCCCAGAATTTATTGTTGAAAACATACTGTCATTAAGCACATTGCTATTGAAAATTACAGTTGGCTCTCCTTAGGGATGCTTCATTATTTATTTGGTCCTTGCCAATTAACCTACAAAATCTGAGGTTGAAAAAATTTTACTTTAGAAAGGTCATCCATAGCAACAGTCTGTTGAAAAAAAAGAGATTCCTAGTGCATTTCCCCCTGGGCTTTTCAGTTGTTTATTCAGGAGCAAAACCTGTCTGAAAGCACCACACAAATAAGTGACAGGTAGAGTATGTCTGTTCAGCTCTAACTCATTAGATGATTCTTTTATTTGCTGAGATAACCAAGAACAGAGAACCCAAAACCTCTGGACTAGCTCTGCCCAGCCTCTGAGGGTTTAGGTATGCACAGAAAGGAAATGAAGCAGCTTGAATAAACTTAATTAATATTTGTGTAAAATGGTTAGGGTGATAGCAACCCAGATAACAAGAGATAATTGGCTTCAGACACAGAGAGAATCAAAGCTGTTGGCCTGGGGTGATGTGAACAATGAGACCATTGGCAGCTTGTGTGGACCATCTATATTAGAAACCAAGTGAAAATTATAGTTATTTTGGAGGGTGATATCTGACACTGTGTTTGACCCAGATCTGAGCCTGTGTTGGGACCATTATTTGTAGAAGCTGGAGTGCCAGATATTTCAAGCAGTCAAAAACAAACATCCAGCTCCCCGGGGTATATGGTATCAATCACAGCTGGTCCAACAGACATGATCCTGGGCATGTGGTTCTAGATGACACTGCTTGATAAGGAGTTGGACAAGATGACCTCCAGAGGTCCCTTCCAACCACAAACCTACTCCATTCCTGTGATCTTATCTGGTTAGACTGCGATAAATCACAACTTTTCCACTTCCTGAATGAGTAAACAGCAATCTCCCAAAAAAGCATCCCCACTACCTTCGCTTCTTCCAATTATTCATTTCAAGGAAAGCAGTTGGATGGTTGTTTTCTGAGAAGCTCACTTATTTATTGATACACTGGACCTACTCTGAGCAAGAAGAAAGAGGAGATGACTCATACAAGAATCCCAGAGGGGTTAAGCTGGAACATATCTATGTCCACCTTGCTGTAATACAGACTGCTGTGGACATCCAGGTAGAAATTTGAGTGCCTATAGAATTAATTAGGCACTTTAAGAACTGCACATTTTCAGTCAAGTAAAAAAAAGGGCATAGCTCCTGCTAGTTAGGTGTTTGGTGTTTAGATAATCAAAATGAGAGTTACGAGGATGATAAAACATAATTATTTTTTATCTACTAATTTTTTTAAGATTTGAATATAACTGTTAAGTTAAAATTCCATGGCAAATAGGTCATTTGAAGTAATTTCTGGGAAAAACTTGAACATCAGAAACACATGCTGCCTATTAGTTTTCCTTCTCTAAAGACTACATTTTTCTCTTGAAGTTAGATAATCTTTACTTGATCTCTATCTTTGGATGCTCACCTCTCATGCCCAGCACCCCAATTCTGTAAATGTAGAACTGAAATATCTGGGTTAAGGGATGTTAAATAGAAGACAGCAATTTTATCACCAAAACATGATGAAGCCTTTTTAGCATGTTTTTATTACCTTGTGCTAAACTCCGTAAATTTTATGCCAACTAACTCAGCAGATGAAAAGTAACTTTTAAACACTGGTCTGGTTCTGCAATCCAAAATACAGTTTGAGAGATCCAAAAAACATCAAAATCTTGGACTGGCTGCAGGAATCAGTCACATATTCCACTTCTAGCTAAAATTAGTGGCATGTAACAGTGCCTTGAAATTGGCTTGCTTGAGGATGTTCCCCATGAAGGGAAATATGGAAGAAGTTTGGAAAAAGAATAAAAATATTTGAAGTAAATGCCAAGTATTAATTTCAATTAATAGAACTAATATTAGTTTAAGTTCAAGAACTCCTTGTCTGTAAGACTTTACATCCTCTGAGATGTTTCTACACTATGTAATACTCTAGAAAGGAATAAATGGGAAAAAAAAATAACTACAGAGAAAAAGCATTTAGAGATCAAACGTTTAGGAAATTCACTCTGGAAATTCACAGCCTTCTCTCATTTATACACCTCACTTTCTTCAAAGTATCCTGAGTCACTTCCTTTCCAGCCTGCAATCAAAGTAGTCTCCCGCACTTTCTGTTGATATCCCCTGGGGCTATTTCCTTTCAGCTAGCTAGAAGTTAAATTTATTACACCTTTATAAAAACTCCTAATAAGTAACACTCAATAATGGTAATATGTTTGAATCAACAGCTAAGCTCCCTCCTGTACATTTTCCTAGGATTATTTGGAATACCGTCATGAAGGTAAACTATGACAGGCATGACCTTGCAAAGATGCAAGTCTATCCCAGATCCACTAATGCCGTCAATAAACAGTGGGGAGTTAAAAACCTTTACATTCACCTTTTCTCAAAGCTTGTCATGTTTATTCTTCCTGTAGGTTGTATAAACCACTTTGAACTTTACCCGTATCTAAAAATAAGAATAAAAAATCACATTCCCCTAAATAAACTTCTGATCAATGTAAAATTCAGAATTACGCATAATGCATTCCCCTGTTAGCTATAATTTAAATTCATGCAACAATTCTGAAGCTGAAAGAGCCAAGAAGTAAATATATTTTTCTTCAAATTTACATAAGATTATGCAAGTATAACTTTTTAGTTTTTTTTAACTAAAAATTTACCATTAGTTTTAGCAATATATTGTTTTGGATTGCAATAATTAATGGTTACTCTTTCCTGCAGCACTGCAACATTAGAATTAGTTTTTAAATAAAAAATGTTGCTATTATCATTAGTTCAAGAAAAGTACTAATCTCAGGAAAACCTATCTCAATTCTATTGAAAATTATTACTGTAATTTTTATAACCCAGTTGACAGTACTAATGAAAATTTTAAATGGAATGAAAGCATAAATAGATTATGATGATTAGACTTCATCAGAAGGTCCAGTGTGGATGCATGGGAGCTGTGTACACAGCAAAAAGATGCATGTTATTATGTAAACTGTTTATAAACTACAGATATTGAAAAACCTTACA